CACTGACCGATTCAACTCGTCCTACTATCCCAGTACAATATTGTGAATCGTCCATGAAAACAGGACTGGGTTTAATGTATGTGTACAAGTTTTTGAATCTACCCTTTTTATGCTTACAACGTGATGTATTACACCATCAACTTAGACGTAATCACAGTGAGATGATGACTGTTTTGTATGAGTTAAGTCCAAAAGGAAATGAAACACAAGAGCAACCGTAAGTACCTGTGTAATTGACTTAAGTTTTTAAAATTGTTTAGAATAGCTTTTTATATTCTTGTTATAGTGATGTACGTTATTTGGTTACAAATGAATAAATCGCATGGTGATTTGGGAAATATTAGGGGAAGATAGCACCCTCTCCTCAAACACACACACTTCTTTGTCCCTGTGTATCTCATCATTGATACAATCATAGCATCACCTGCGTGTGAGGCAATCATCATATAAACGATTCATAAGCCAGTCGTCTGATATTAAGTAAGCAAACGATTAAGTTTCTGAAATCGTGAATCTGAATCCACTGAGATGGTTTGAACATATGTTATGCATACCGATGCAGTGCATGGCTACACATGAAAATTTAACTGAAATATGGTTTAATTAGAATAATGTTTTTTCGTCCCAGGGTTCGAACCCATGATCCAGTCGTTTAATCAGTCCAACCACTTAAAACATCTCCAAAAAGTTCTGTTGTGATTTTCGATTCAAGAACCATAATATTTAAGGCTGCAACCAGTGGTTTTTTCTGCACCACTACTTGTTAGTACAACAGATAATGATTATACTAAATAACTGTCTTACTATATGAGTAATTTGCCAAGAATAGTACCAATTAATGTTGTGAATACTGAAAGGTAAATGCATTCATTTCGTATCCAGGCTACATCAGTTATAGGCGTGTGATCCCTCTCACTAAATCCACAAACCAATAGTGTCTGATATTCATAGTAAACCATCGTGGCTAGACTAAGACGTGGCATCAGTTCATGAATTCTCTGTGTTGAAAAGTGTAAACTTTTAGGTTTGAATCTGTCCGACAGTGGAAATTGATAACTGGAGACTTTAAGTGATACGGCTGACAGTTGATCGCAGTGGTGCAGATACATCTACATATTATCTTCATCATAATCATTATATTGAATTTTGTTATTTGTTTTACCTCCGATTCTTCTCTTCTCATGACTTTCTACTACTTTTATTTGCATTTCCCCCTTATTTCTTAATGTACTGAAACGCGAGGTATGGTAACTTGGAATTCCACACATTACTGCTAAGTCTCATGTGGATATTAACCGATTGAAAACGATTGAAAGATTTCTAAGTAGAATTCCATCTGTTTGGGTTGTTCTTATCTCAGACTGTGGTCTTTTCATACATCTAATTTGATTTCGTGTAACACGATTCAATCGGATAGACACAAAGTTAACACATTTGACCACAAAAGAGTGAAATATCAATGCAGTTTGTCTAGCAAGCATTGTTGATTGATGATGTTATTGGTCAACATATAAAACTTGATAACTGCACTGCTTATTTTCATGTGACCAATTCGTGTACATCTTCTCAGTCCTGCGAAGGAAATCTGACCTCAGAGATAACTAATACAGATTCAAATTTCAGAGGAAACATGAGTAGTTTCCTTCAAGATGAAGTTACACCTTGATGAAGTAACCGGGAAATATCAGAGGTTTATTTGTACTGACTCCTACAGTTTACTACCAAAATGGTTCACAACTACTGATATCATTCAGTAGTATCTGTCATACAGCTCAAATTAGGTGTTTATACTTTATATGAATTAATTTACTAACTAGTTGTCTGATGACATTAAAAAATAGTAAGTTTTGATATTTAATCAATACACACAGTAAACTCGGAATAAAACCAAAAAAAATCGTTCCAATTTGTTAGATACAAGATATGTTCAAGTTCAGAAATCAGTTGATCTTCCACGCCTTTGTTTTTATTCGGCTTTCGTTTCGTTTCGTTCAGATGTGACTTGACTTTTAAGTCAATTTTAACGATTGCAGTGGACAAGAAATTGTCCAGCGTTAAACACTTCTGTAGGCAAGATGAAAAAAAACAACGTAAATATTTCAGACAATAACAATGCCAAACAACGTAACGAACAAATTTCGTCGGGTTATGGATTTTAAATTGTTAAAACATGGCTCTTTTGAAAGATTGTTGACGCTTAAAGGAGAATTTAAAACTAGGCATGCCAATGAACGGACGCACCGTTCTCGTTTGAAGCAACGTTATTGATGCACCTTCAACGCAGCGAAATGAAGCCCAAGCTTCTCAGGCCTTTGGCAGTAGTCAAATAGTGCGTATAAACCCATTCGTGCATATTTTTCATCTCCAATCAATTCTCAGTACGATGCCGTCATCAATCAAGTCATTGATTAGCATCTGTCTTCACATGTCATATCTTTCTGTTAGTATACTAGGAAATCTGTCTCATGGCCGATGGAAATCAGCACTATATAGATTGCTGTTAAAATGGGTGTAAGTTTCAAAGGAACTGGCCGCTTTACGAATTTGGTCCATTGGAAAACGTGAAACAACTAGAGATGTCCATAAAATTGGGCACTAAGAGAAAAACGTTTTCCTTATTGTGTGAATATTTCAGTCGCTAATCCCTTACCAATATCAAATATAGACAAACTAGTATGGAAGTATATCACGGTACTAAAGTTCTAAGCGTGCACACACTTCCACACATCAACAATCTAGATAAATTGGTTTGATAAAGTGAGGCTATTGTGAACTGTAAAAAGTGAAGACATTATGAAGGGACCTAAAAAGAAAGAGAATCTGTTGGACCTAAGGAGTAGGGTGGTTGGTGCTGAATAACTTTTATCCACACCGCCAAAATTCCTCAAATACCAACTTCTGAGCACTTGAGACACAAATCTCTCAGTTATTTTCATCACTCGTGATAATAGTCACTAATGTACTGGTCGTTGGACCAACATCATATTATTTTCTCTCCATTTGATGTCTATGTCGAAGCACCGATAAGAGGAAGTGTGGCAACCTAGATTCTTGCATATTAACACAATCGTATCTTGCCATATATTTGCTTATCTGCCGCGTCACAACCGGTCAGACGGAGGAAATTCTAGCTGATCTTAATCTATATCTACAGAGGTTACTTCACTGATATCTATAGTATTCAATAAGTGTTTTCGTGGGCCTGGCTACCTCTCTCCTTACACTCAGACAAGGTATTAACAGAGATCTGTTGTTAAAGAAATGTTCAAAGTTCCCAACCAAAGAGAAGCACTGAACTTACTAACCCTCTCTTTACTACATTCGGAAGTTTCTATACCACGTCAGTGTCGTTTGGCTTACACTGCCGTATTGTTTCTATGCTTTGTCAGACAGAAAGATAGACAGAATAAATCAGCATAGGACCTTGCATCACTGAGTAGCAGTCCAAGTTTCCATACATCGTGTCAGTACATTGAGTGACAGTGCACTAAAATGAAAGATAAAGAAAGAAAGCAGACCAAAGAGACAGAAAGTCATCAAAAGAGAACAAGGGGGAATGAAAAAATACTGAAATTCAAGAGTGATATACGCTTGTCACACATTCTGATATCACCAGTATTGGTGTCCAGAAGATTCTGCATCTAGTCAGCATCTTAAACGAACAAGTTACATTGGATCTACCAAGGATTCTCCTGCATCTATATCAATCCCTATAAAATCATACGATGAGAGGCAGAACTTTATAAGCAAGTCTATGAAGACCTTTAAAAAGAATGAAGAGAGTGGAGAACCCTAACCAATACCACTTGAAGTACACAACTCGCGTGACAACACACCGTAGGCTGTGAAACACACACTGACTTCCCATTACAGAGCCTTTGGTAAAGTGTCATTAATCGGCACTCATTTCATTGAGCATCGCTACCGAAAGACCCCTCGGTCGTTAGAGTCGGATGGCTCTGTCAGATCGAGAAATGCAGATAGTGTCGAGCGTCAGTAAGTGTTCCCCTATTCCCAAACGTCGTGAATGAATATATGGCGGATACACCTACATCAGGCCTGAAAACTGCTTCGTATTCTCCTTTCTCAGTTTGCTGTTGCCGAACTCCACTTATACGTCTGATATAATTATAGAACTCAGACTATGTTCGTCAGGCTGGTTCCTCTGTAGTTATCACGAGAGAATTTCTCCTCTGTCTTGAAGACTGGGACAATCAATGAAAAAAAATCTTTCGTTTAACGTATTACATAAAGAAACTTAAGTTCTCTGGTATAATTCAGCTTCTACTCTTGCAATTTATTAAGTCCTGCATTTCACTTACTCTTCTCTATTGTCCCCCGTTGATCTTTCCCAGTAGGGTAGTGGTGTGCCTTTAGCCCAAACGATAGACATTTAAATTCTAGCAAAGAAACTAAGTACAGGAATTTTAACTGACGCAGAGCATCCACTTCACTTACAGCTCTCCTTGTATCTCCTCAGGGAGGACAAGAAGGAACTGCAACGGTCGTATAGACAAGTACGAGAATTCGTCTACACTTTATTTAGCCCGTATATTATGTGGGGAAAAAGTGTTGGAGCAGAACTCACATACCAGCTTTGTAACAGCTAACAATCTCATTTCAACAATTTAATTACCAATGTAAAAATATCTCGTTATTAATATTCTTTACACTACTTTAATTTTTATCAATAACACAATTCGAAATGTTGTTAAAGAGTATATACATACTTATATGCTGTCGTTATTGCAATATATCATGCTGAGGATTCCAAATTGTACAAATAATTGTTTGAAATAAAGCGATTATTATTATTAGTTGAAGGCAATATTACTCTAAGATTCGACCTTAGAAACACCTTTCATTACCTGGGTTTTAAATCTCATAGATTTGTCTCATCTTTACAGTCGACCTGATATTCCCGATAGACACATTGCAGTTTACACTAGTTTATCTTTTCTGTAAGCAAACTTAGGAGTGAATTGCAGATAATTTCAGTGTTAAATAATATGAGAAAGTCGATCACCAACATGCTTACTTATCCGATGAGATTCAATTATTTCTATTTGTTTACACGTTCCATCTTTTTTCATTTCATATTTGATAGTTTTCATGGTTTTAATGCCGCTTTCTGCATCGCAGTGTACAGAGCTTTTAGAATTCGGACAATCTGCAGGAAATTGTAATATGTTAAAATTATTTTTAATAAGTTGCTCTCATATTTTATTTAATTATTGTAGTTAATTTGTTGACATTTAGAGAGAAGATGGCAATGAGAAATGTTTTTTGTTTTCCACGCTTTGGTGATAAGTTGAAACAATTTTGTAATAGTCTGCCCACCTTGATATCCAAAGATAGGGGAAATATCATGGTAGCTTTACTGCCTCCTAAGCTTCAATGTTTCTGGCAGAAATTTTGGTACTTGTCTAAGCGTTATCTTCATTGCAATCTCAAACTTAAATAGGTTAAGAAGAAAATAAATTCGTACAGTTAGAAGCTGACATTCCTTTCCTGTGAGTGACTCAAAATGAACATTTCCTCAGTCAACTTGGTGATTTTCAGTAATAATAATAGCAGTGACAGTTTACTTCCGGCTTGGGTTACTAACTTTTTCTTCTTGTAAAGTAACCAACAGTTTCTAGGTGATGACTAATAGTAGTAATACATTGTCTGTGAACAGTATTATTCTACTGCAACATATCTAACGATGAAAAATACTAGTCGTAGCTCAAAACTAGCTTGACATTAGCTTGTTTTAATTGATGATCAGACTGTGAACACTATAGTTACTGAGTCTTACATGCTAATAGAAGTCGAATGGTAAAGATTAAGACTTGTCTGCTGGGCTAATTAAAATGGAACTTCGATTTTTGCTGGATGTTAAATATGGCAAGTCATTTGTTTGGTAGACAATGCTCTTGCATTTGAATAAGGAATACTTATACCTGAGATTTTGGTAGGATAAGTGAGGCAAATATGAATATCCATTCCGAGTCTCAGTTAATTTGAAAAGCATTTACTCAACCTTATGGCTAGAAATAAGAACTAATATACTACTGACAAGCTATGGAATGAAGAGTATTTTACTTTTCTGCATCACGTGATGTTTGTAACTTTCTACTAAACATGTGCATACTTAGAACCTAGAATTTTTAAAGCAAGATGTTCATAGCTGGTATTCTGGATCACTGATCACCTCTTTCAGTGCAAAAACTACCAAGTAAAAGTAAGTCTGACCGCAAATAAATCTGTAATTGCCAGTCACAAAGTACGAATTACAATTGGAGAATAAAGTGCAGTTGTGATATAATGCCAGTTACTTGCATATAAGCTTCATCTTTGAAAAATGTATTACTAAGGGGTAACCACTAATCTTTTGATTCAAAGTGTTCACTATTTAGACGTCAGTGTTCGGAAATTTCTGCTGTTTCAAGAAAACTGTCTTGATGACGACTTTATCACGTTCAGTGGAAAACTAAACCAACACAAAAAGGTCGTATTGAAGAATGCTAGCAGCCATGAAACCATGGGTCTAGAAGCTTGTGTCGGTTACTGCGAGCCATTTATCACAAGTTAAGGCTCATGAATTAACCTAGTGGTTCCATCAGACAATCAGTCAGCATTACGTAAACCATTATAGTTGGTTATGCGTTGGTTGGCTAGTGCAATCAACCTTACAGTCTAAAGGAGTTCACGTTGTAAAAGAAGTTCAGTTGACATAAGGAAATGCATCGACAATTGGGTAGATGGTTGCATACTGGGCAAAGTAATGAAGCTTAAGTAATCAGTATATTTCCGTATGTCAAACTACCGAAAAAAGTTATGCATAGCGACGGATTCTAGCTTAATATCCCAGCTTTTTGAGCACCATAACATAGTCTCAAGCGGAATTCATTTTCAGTCCAAGCTTTTAGGATTGTGGATTGGCTTAATAACATTGAAGAAAGTCATTTCGATAATAGCATTTTTCACGTCAGTTTGACTAATACAGTAGCATTGATTATGGCCGTTATGAGTGATGCATGATTTTAAAAGATTATAAAAAAATAAAAAACGTCTTTGATATCATCAAACAAATGTGCAGACTGAACTTGACATTCCGGTGTATGCCTAAAAAACTAATGTCATTACTATTGAAGTACTGCTTCTTAACCAGAGTATGAGATTTTAAATACCGATTATTCACTGAACACATTAGTCTAACAGAACATAGAAGTATAAAATATTCGACCTATTACAAACGGTTTGATGAAAAAAATTATTGAAACTTACTACATCGTATTGTGAATCGAAAGATGTGACGTTGGCAATTACCATTTACGAGGCTGTAATTGATATGAGTGACATCGGACAATCCGTTTTGACAATCAGACTGGGTATATTCAGGCTTAGGGCAACCTGAAATTAACAGAAAACCAACTGAATTAGTTTCGACAATTTTTCATATAAAAGTAATACCTGACACATCAAGCCATGGTGTCACTAAAATAAACTGTGGGACAAGATAAACTTAGCTTACTGGATATGTTTTTAACCAGTGTCATAGCGACTTATAGCATTTCCATTTTGCTTGATGAAATTATTCACAATCGACACTTGCCTTATCCTTAAGATACTAGTTGAATACACTTTCTGTCATCTAGAGACCATCTGCAAATGTCAGCAATTTCAATAAAACACTGTGATCTGAAACTTGAAAGTTTCATTTAAAAATATTCTTCTCATTTATATGTCTGCATCAAAACCAAACATTTGGCTACGTCTAATCAACCAACAATAAGTCAACTGTATATTCTCATCCTACCGCTTCTACCTATCACAGAATAACATCAGAATTTCCCAGTGTGAAAAATATTAGTTTTTAACCAGATGACTAGGGACTGTATGATAGCAAATTGCAACGAAGTTTCATATTTTCATCCCGGGCTTGTTCTTAGGTGCTTGCGCATTTTTGTTGTATTCAGTAATTCGTTGCCTCATGCCGATCATATCTTTGAGCACGTGAGAAGCTGAGGTACTAGAAACGACTCTATAAGACATAGGAACTATTTTAAATGTTTTACGCTGAATTTTTAGTTTTATTAAAATTTAGAATTGATCTGAAGCCATGACCTTAAAGGATCATTGCAAAGACTAAAACAGAATAAACGGGAGAAAATTTCAACTGTTACATGCAACTCATGAAAGTCATGTGACCAAAAAGTATGAAGGCTAGTTTTTCTTATAAAATATCTGAAGCCAACGGCAGCCATCCTCAGTTTGTTGAAGCTTCAGCCACTAAATAGTTTTTTAATGACCGTTATATTGTCATGATGGTAAAGTCAGTATCAAATTAAAGGTCAGTGTACCATCATCTTTTGTTGTAATGATTTTATTTTTATTTTGGCCTTCATCATGATCTCATTTGACCCTTTTTCTCTTACTCACTCCTCAAATTTTCGTACTAGCTTTTATATCAATACTGACGACAAGTTCCCATAATATTAGCTTGTCTAAAATATGCACGCATATGCGTCACATGATCAATTTTTTTATAGTACTGTAAAAATTTTTCGCCAGTTATTTATCTGTATTTTTAAAGACTGACAGTAATTCTGCCTTCATCAATTGATGAAAAACATCAGCTACTATTCATTTTACAATTTCTGGTATCTGGATTTCTTCTAGTTATTCCATCAAACATTCAAGTGCAGAAGCGTGATAAGTCTTGACAGAATATTCCTATGAGTGATTTTCAAAAAATTGACGGATATTAAAGAAATTCATATGATATGCTGAAATCAAAGGATTATGAAAGTTGGATGTCAGAACAAATTAATATCCGAAAGAGTTGGATGAGGGCCGTGCTATGTCAAAAAATTACCGAAGGTGTACTACGTGAACAACTGAATTTCAGTTTCAGTTATAAAAAAGCATGAATAAATTTAAGCTTGCTGATCTGTGGGGTAATAAATATGTAAAGATCGCTTTGTTGTATAACACCGTAACAGCCAGTTACTGATTTTCAGTATTTGTGTAAATGATATCCATATGTATCAATGAGTAAAATATTTTGCACTTCAGTTTAAAAAGAATACGGTTCAAATCTGATGACCAAAGTGCGTATAACTATGATTGTCGATGAACTTTTTAAATTTTAAGAAAACTACCGAGTACTAGTCATGCATATTTTAACTCTGTCACCAATAATATGTATAAAGAGAAGCTGAAGTTGATGACCGGAGAGAACCATTTGTTGAATTATTAATGGAAAATTATATCCTTGTGGTAGATACTTACTTTTCTATGTCTAAACTACTATGAAAATCAAAAAAATGAGTAAAGAATTGCTTGAGGTTTTTAAATGTGTATCTACAGGACCTTTAGAATCAAAGCAACACGAAGTTTTTCTCTCTGCTTAAAATATGTGGGATCCATATATAAGAAGTCCACATTGCACTTTTTCAAATACAATAAATGTTTTTGTTGTCAGATTATACATACAAATTATTATCATCAGTAAAGTAAATTGGTAGGCGTTACTGGGGTTGTTTTCTTAACTTACAGCATTTTCCAGCGTGATGAGTAACTTCTATGCTTTTGCACTTACACTTCTCCCGAATCCATACACTACCTGTCCATTTTCGCTCACATGTATTCAGATTGCAGTAAAATTGACCTGATTTCCCCACCATAGACTTTCCATTTGCTGGTGGACAGGGTATTTTTGGAATCCAACTAACATTAGTATATTCCACACAGTGAGTTTTGTTTGGTTTATAATAAGTGGTTTTCACTGCAAGTTGATCTTTATCAGCTATGCAAATAGGATTGGAGCGCTTCGGTAGAGGACAGCCTTTTGAATTGAAGAAAATTAAAGACATTAGTTTAGTATTGATGGTTTAGTTTTGAAAATATCGGTATAATACAACACAACCAGTGTTAAAATATCTCTTGATTGCTGCAGCGAAGTTACTGAGGTGCTGAACATTATAGGTGTGAACGGAGATTGTAAGAATGTGAGCAGAGTTCAGCCAACAGCAGCCATTGGCTATGCCAATCATCGTCTTATATTCGCTTCTGTTACTTGAAAATCTTGATGTCGATGAGTTCGGAAATGAAAATTCCCAGTCCAAATTTTAAGGAAATTAAATCTATCCCAATAACTATAATTCGAGTTTTGTACGATAAATGGTACGTTAACTCCTGAATCTGAATCTAACCCCTTAACCCCATAACTCATTTTCCAAACCTTATTTTAAATTTATCTTCAAACCTAACTCTTGGAGCGTGATTTCTAGTCCCAAACCTGGTATTCCATCTTCTGTATTCTGTTTGGTAGTCTCAACGACACTTCGGAAATTTCAACTTACTCCGCAATTTACAAATTTATAAATTTGGTATTTTGCTCACCATGATATATTTACTAAAAAGAAAAAGTTGGTCTGTTTGAATACACTTTTACAACTAAAATGGTGCAGACATTTATTATTATTATTAAACTGTCTTCCACCCTTAAAGTCATAAGTTTATGAGGTGTTATGTGTTCACTCAAAACTTTATTATGGGTAGGTTTTAATTCAGTGGCGTGTACAATTGTAGCCTAGTAGTCATGGTATTCAAATCCCGGATAATAAGTCAAATGTTTCGAAGTACCTCAAAGACTTCATTTTTGTCGGCTTGATTGGCATATCAACCACATACAACATATGTAGTCTTGTGACTTTGTAACTGGTTAGTAAATTACGCTATTTTTTGTTTGTTTACGTATGGTTAATAAATTAGATATGTTGTTTTTAGTGAGTTCTTGCAGAAAAAAATTTCACCATCAAATTGTTCGACATCATTTTTTGTTCCATGCAATAACAGAAGCAAGTTGCTGAACTCCAGGTCGTATGACAAACGTTTTCCAGAAACCAGTATTCAACATGGATCAGAGACAGTGGATAACAAGTGTCACAATAAAGTCATATCCGTATCAGTACTAATTCGTTTGAAAACAATACATGTCTCATTTGATACTAATGGAATATACAGATATTGATAGTGAGTTATTCAAGTTCTGTGAAGAAGAAACAATTCACACAGATCAAGTGTCTGAAAAATGATATCGTGCTTTAGTCTGCACTGTCAGTTAAACTACAGCGTTCTCATTAACTTCGCTGAGATGAAAATAGTCTCCAACAAGTGTCAGTTTTCTTATATGAAACATTGGAAAGTAATTCAATCACTTTTGAATTAAGTCGGCTGTAGATTTGCCGCCAAGCAAATGACCTTGTTTGGTTTTTGTTTCAAAATGAGTAAAACATTATTTTATGAATTGAAGCTATTTAAGATACTAAAGACAATTCAGTTAAGAAACATATACATTACAGAGACCGTTTAAATCCAAAATAGTCAGAATAATGCCCTGATGACAACCACCATGGATCTGAGTTGCTCACCTCCGGGAAGTTACAGTCAAATCAATAACTACCATTCCAGCAAACTACCCATTACCATGAACTTCATCTTGAGACAAAAGACAACCAAAAACCTACATTTGCAGCCAGCAATTTATGCAGTCACATCACATAGCATTTCATGGATAACTGTAATAATATGTAAATAATAAAAAAGTTCAAGACATGAACCTAAATTTATTTCATTACTTATCTGCAAATAACGCCGAAATCAAAAGTCAGTTGTTAGTGACGATTACATTCTCACTTACAAGGTCTATTCCATCCTACATATATATACCCATGTGATCGTCGTGACAGGATACATTTCGAGTTAATTTCTAAAAAAATTGGTTATTTCATGCCCACATAAATGTACATTATTGGATTCCGAATTCACACGAAGAAATAACCGTTAAATTCTCAGCTTACTACATTATTTCATGTGAAGCGTGATAAATTTGAACAAACACTGTTCAGACACTTATTATCAGCAAGGCAGTTACGCAAAGGCTGGATTTCTTAGCTACCCAATAAAATTCATTCTTCACTGATCGATAGTTTGTTATCGTGTGACCAATTTAATGATGTCATTTAGATTTATAAATATTATTTATGAGTTACCGCTCATCAAAAATTTATTATGAAATATCTTACCACATATTTCTCGTTCCTCACGAGAAATCAGTTGACATTTGCAGTTCTTAGTAATTTGTCTAGCATAAATCACTTTTCGAGTAAGACCAATTTGTCCCAGATGTGTTCTTTCACATTTACCACGTTTTATCCAATGTTTTTTACATTCTTATTGGATTAAAAGAAGTGAAAACAACATGAGATAAAGTGCAACTTACTAAAACTTCACTCAGAAGTATAGTTAAAGTACAAATTTATTCTTTCAGTTCGAAAGGCTGAAGTACCAGCTGGTTCCTTTCTTTCCCATGACAACTATTATAACTGAATTACTTTTGAATGCCGAATCACTTTGCAGATGAGTATAAACAAGATTCAGACTTTTCACTCCAAACATTATGATCATGAGCTTTCTGCAGGGTGAATGATATGGTTTTAGTCATTGCTTTTATTCGCTAAATTAGGCTTTTTTCCAGCAAACTAATTAAAGTATAATAGGATGATGATTGAAACTGTTCCAAGAAAGTATAGGAGAAATATTAGAATAAGTGACTTCTGCGACGGCAGAGATTAGACTACTGACTAAGCTAAAAGAATCATTTACCGACCTGTTCTTGACTCTACTTCAGTCATCCACACTTTAATCCAGCTGTCATTTGAGTAGCACCACACCATTCATTGTCATAGTAGAAGGTAGGCAAAGTTATCACTATTAAATTCAAATGACCATGAATGAGAAAGGAGGAGTAACTGATAAGTAGTTAACTAGATCATCTAAACTACCTTTTGTTTGGAAGATGGATCTTATATTACTGGAACTGTGTTTAAAGCCGAGCTGTTTCATTACAATACAAGGCTGCTAGACCGATAGCTACTTCCGAAGACGTCAGTTTTTGTTAAACTGCAGTCAGCAAATCCAACAAAGTTTCAGTTAGCCTCTCCAATAATTCACAAATTTATTCACTACTTGTGAAAGTCGTGTAAATAAGGTTTTAAGCTTCGCATAACTAACAATTTCTTGGTTTACAATTTACAGGAAAATATCTTTCTTACAGTTTAGTTGTTTAAACTGTTGGATTTCAGCAGTCTGTTTAGGTGCTATTTTGCCTTGGAGTGTTGTTAAATATATTTGTTAGAATTCTCCTTTCTTTGTCAACGCGATCACAAAACAAACAACAATGAAGACTTTGCAATTAAATCTTTGAGAAAAGAAACACAACAAAACCCAAAAATTAAATATTTACCCATAGTACTGGTTTCAGAACAGACCTCACTTCTGTTTTGCTGAACTGTGACGTTCTTATCCGTTGGTTCACTTGAGCCCTTTCTTGTAACTCGGACTTTATAGTTCAAACAGTTTGACACCAACAAATGTAAGTTAAGCATTTTGATACAGCTCTGTTTTGGCATAGTGTATTTATAAGGGAATCGATGGTGATTTAATTTTGAGGAAAACTTAAGTACTGTTATAACTTGAACTCAGTGACAGCCGATTTGAACTCTGATACGAAGCTTATTTTGCCTTATTAATTAAATGTGTTAATGTTATGAGATTCTGAATGCAAGATGGATACTGTTGACCATTGTGATTATGGGCACCTGCACTACTCATTGTCAGTGATTACTGTGTTCAGTAATACACGACAGTAAAAGTCTCCTAGTCTCCTGGTCAATAAGGTTTTAGATGTCTTCACCTATCACTTTAGGTTTTATCACGCTAATTTTTATAACAGATGTCTTTGAATAGATATGTCATCGGTTGTCAACGCTTATCATGAGCACCTTTAAAATTACCAGTATCTAGTTGTAACTAATCTACTATTTCAGGAGCGACATTGGTACCTAATTAGTGACAATGTTATGTGTGGAAGGCAGAGAATTTTAACTGAAGATATTCAGCTAGAGTTAATGTTTGGTTAGCCATTATAAGGACTGAAACTAAATTTAGCCAGTTTAATACAGTTTGCTTATAAAGAAAAATATCATAAAGACAAAAGCCACCTCAAACTTACCAACACGTTTGCCTAAAGCGTTAATTTTTCTGTACATGCATTTGTCGCATGATGTTTGCACTCGAACCATTGTTTTAACCACAGGAATATTGTTATCACGACAAGTTTTCACCGCCAAACTTATTGTTTTGCATGCTATTTTGATTTCATTAGAAAAAAAGAAGGCATTCTCTAGTCCGCTCTGTTTTTTTGAAAGGTTAGTCTTTGTATTAAATTTTTTAATGACAAGATACATTTTTCTCTTTCGAGTAGCTGTTGTCATTCAGGTTATCCGTTTGGAATTAAAATGTAACAGTTTTAACTAGTTATGAATGTTTTTCCTGGTAATAAGACAACCTAAAAGATGTATTCTAACATTACTAGGCAAATTTCATGACAATGAATTGTGAGTGGTATATGTTTAGATCCACCTGAATGAGTATGATGCTAGATTGAAAATAACTGACATCTGAAGAGTACCCCAAATCCTGTATTCTGAATGGGGTCTATTAATTGATGTTAAATGGTTATAGACAGTTAGCAGGAACCATGGATTTTAGTTTCATGCTTGTTGGGACTGTCCAACAGGGTGGGTCTGTAACATCAAAAGAACTGATGCCCCAAATCTGCGTCACCTAATGCTGCTGTCAGGGTTTGTTGGCACCGAGCAACTTAGGATGTGACTGGTTTTGTGTAGAATTGGATTAGGAAAATGGAATAGTTACCGGAGAGTAAAGACTTCACCTTATCTAGGTTTGAGTACTTACTGAATTCGATGGATCGTTTGCTATGTGGTAGCTAAGCCGGGACACTTGTAATCGCACGGCAAATTGATTAATGTTAGGGGGTTGAAGGCGAATGACAGGCAGCCTTATGAGTCCTGGAACTAAAATCTTCTTCCAGACAACATTATCATTCCAAGCATTTGAAAGAGGTGAGCTATGAATATTTCCTCATTAGTGAATTGGTGACTCTGTATGTGATTCTGTTTTTCTGCTGTATTACCACTTTTGCACACAACTTTAGATTGTATCCCACTGACTGAAAATACATCACTTTATACCAGCTGCTAAGGTATAAATATATAGTAGATTGGGCCTTTAGTAGTTAATTATACATAGATCCATATAACACAACTGGCGGTCATACTTACTATTCAGTAAAGCACATTAAAATAGAGGGCACAAAAAACTTCCCTTTCTGCAGGCTTTTACAGTTTTTATCCCCTTCCTGTTGCAGAAAAAAAAATTATGCCGAATCTGGGTCGCAAACAGTTATATGTAACGTGCTTAGCTAGAGGATTACTTACTTCCACAAAGAATCCTAACTAATTTCGGTTACAGACTGAGAATAGGTCACATTGTACAATACTCACTTATCGAAACCTACAACAAATGTTATGCTAAACGAATGTAGAATACTAAACTCTGCGGTTAACTAACGGGGATTAACTTTTAAAAATTTTAAATTACATTGCTATTTCATTTGTTAAAGCGAAGTAGACTAATAAAAAACTAGTTATGTTTACGATTGTTTGGGGCGTATACAAATGAAAGTAATACAAAGCTAAATAATTTATTGACTTACAGCATCGTTCTTTATGTGTACGTTCAACCATAAGGCACCTTCTCAAGCCTCTTTCTTCACGAATATGTGAACGTAATCTTACAGTACGAATCCTTTACAGAAGTTGCATTTTTCTGGAATTCGCATGACTAGTGTTGGACATTCTGTAATAAAAAAACTTTTTTTTAACACACATAAAGGTATATATGTGTATTTTTTGTACATAATTTGAAGATGCACCGTAAGTATAATTTTGTAAGTTAGCGTGTGGTTTCATCCATGATGTCCTTCTGTAAGCACTTATGAGTGTCAGTTCTACTTAAGAAATGGTGTGACAGCAATCATATACTCTCTGATTAGAATTGCAGTCAGTAATATTAATGCATATTGAGACATGGGGAATAAAGAAAAGTTCACTTCACTACAAAACCACATTGACGATAGCATCTAGACTTTTGACAAAACATTATGCCATTAAAGATTCACTCCTCAGGAATAGTGATAGTACCATCACGTTATCAGTTGAGCCTTCTGCTTACAAAGAAACTTATGATGTCCTACAAATTGACCTGCAGATTAAGTACTTATTTATGCAGCTTATCAGTTATTCTTCTAATTTTTTGATGGTTTTATGAAAAACCGTCAGACATTGGTCAATTTTCAGCTAAATTAGTGAACCACAGTTGTACCAAAGGTAGTTTAATTGTATCTGACGGACCAAGCTTTTCATAATGAAATGAATTAAGCTTTATTCCTTAATTATCATAATAAAAGTCATCGTACGACTTTACACATATCCCCCTGATGATGAGGTTTTTTCGCTATACGTTAACTTTAGAAAAGAAAGTCTTGTTATGATCATGCACCTGGGTCAAAAATGACTTCTGCTTCAAAGCATTCTAATTCTTCAAAACGGGAATAAGCTCACATGCAGATTTTCTACACTAAGCCTAAATACCAAAGTATTTTTAAATAGAATGGCTCACCATAAGTAAGCTAGTCGGACCCAGTATTACAGACTATGAAGTTGGTGAGTAGTCTCAAAAAGAAGTTTAATAAGTCGACCGTTCAACAGAATTCAGTGGCTTAAGCCAGTCCCTCAGAATAACTGATCTACCACTGCACAAAATGATATATTGCCAAGTTATTTGTAATAGATCTGCAGTATAGGGAAGATGTAAGGTAACTGAGAAACATGCAACAATTTTTGCTTTTACTAAACCAACTAGCTTATCATACCTACTCATTCTAATTTAAGCTGACGGACATTCACATATGCCTTCAACATAGTGAAATACCTAGGATAACCTTTGCTGCTACATTTGAAGTTTACATTGGATTATAAAACAGAATATCAAAACTCTGTCATTTTTAAATAACTTTCCCAAATCACAGTAAAAATGCAAAGACATAAGACAGTAAATCATTAAGTAATAAAAATGAGACCGTAATAATGAACCAGTTGTCCCCTCTATCGAATTTCCATTTGAACTGAATGAAACAGTAAATCAGGGTTTCTGCAGCAAAAATGGTGAAATAAATTCTTCAGCCCACATAAAACATGTCATGTCAGAGAATTAGGCAAGATCATGGAAAACGAACTGTGCCCAAGGGGTTACCAAGTCAATATTTCTGTTTTAATGTGTAACGAGTCTAGTACCTATTGCATACAAGTAAGTAAGTAGCTAATAGAATTACTATCCATCACAGTGCCTAGGTTTTATTCCATAAACAAATTCTGACACTAGTCGTCCCAGGTAAACTAGCTGTTGAACTAAGCTTTTAATTCGCACTATCACATCAACCGTTTGTTAGTCCTACGGAATTACTCACCTCCGCATGGTCTATACCTCCTTGTTATTAATGGTTTACACGTGCCGTTGCTTTGAAGTCTATAGCATATGTGACGGAGTTCGATGTTCTTGGTAACTGGATTACATGGTCCACCTTCTATATGACATTTTGGGCATCCTGTAATTTGTAAGCATAAATAAAGGCATATATGAAAACTTTACTAAAACTAACGCGAACAACTTGGATGGTAAAATGAATTTTCTGAAACTTTTCTAACCACTGAATAAAAACGATCTCAGTACGTTAATGAATGCATTAGTACCTTCGAAATAATGGATACATCTTGCTAACAAAACCTAAGTCCAAAGATTTCCATAATTACCTCCTACTAATTACCAATTAATGAAAAGGCTCCACGATTGGGATTCTCTAAGACTAGTGGTGTAGCTGCAAAATCAGGAGTACACAACATAAAATTTGTTACTCTTAAGTCGTCATTGTGAAAGTATTTTTCAACCAGAATTCTGCAGAAGATTTCAGTTCAGCTTACTCAACAGTCTCAGAACTGATTTTTTTACTGAAATATGTGTTGTAAAACAATTTGCAACTTTTTCCATAACTTGTAATCAAGAGGATTCTAGTGACGAAAAACATGGACACTATCCTCTATACTTGTATTGTTGGTTGCCTAAAGACGGGAATCTTGAATAAAGTAGCAAGATAACCTGTGTTGCAGCCGGATTCGAACCATTCGCCTACAGATTACTCACACTACTCTACTCACTGAGCACATAACCTGCCAAGAATCACTTACTAAATAGGTTTGGTTGATAATTTATTACGTTAAGCATTATTATTTACTAGTGAACAGTGCTCTATTATATCTAGTAAAGTTATCTATTGTAAAATTATACTGCACCACATAGCCTAAATTCAAATTTCAAATCAAAAATTACTTACTACAATTGTGGGGTGAGCATGTAAGCATGCATATTGATTTATAGAAATCTATTTGACATTCACCCCGTTTCTTGATCAGTTCACATTGTGATGTGGCTATTTGATCTTCACAAGGCCGTTCACACTGCTGACATGTTGCTCGACAAACTCGATGCATAATTGCTTGATCCTTTAGGCATCGACCTTCAGCCTTCCATAATTTGCATTTCTCAGTAGGTTCACGATCAATGCAAACTAGAAAGAATATATATATACGTGTAGATTTTCCAGTAAATGTGAATAATTTTAACAGTTTTGTGTAATTCCTGCCAATCAATTACTAAAAGTAACTTACCCTAGTCATCGTGTTTCTAGGATTAAGTAAGCAGTTTGTTTAATTTTAATAACATTTTAAGCGAATCAGTGAACAAAACTACACTTATATGACAATTATTTGTCTTTTTGTAATTATTTGCAATAGAAATAATTTTTTCTACGGTATGTGTAATCTGACAAGTATTTAGTGTGAATGAATGTTCTAGCTTTTTTGCCTGAGTTGCAGAAAATATGTAGGAGAATCTGTCAACTATTTTTTTTTGATATTACCAACAAATTTTACACAAACTATCAGTTATAATTCAGTTAAATGGGTTCATTATAATACAGTACCTCACAGTAAATTAAAGAACATACATGTAATCATTTGTCACATACTCCACCTTCACTTGGCATATTCTAATGAAGAATTACAGTTTACATGCTAATTTTTCATAGCTATACCTATAATAAGCTTAAAGTATGGCTCTTCATAGTTGTGTCAACTCGTGACCTCATCAAAAGGTGACTGCCATCCTGTCTTGTATTTCTTTTCAATAAGCTAGAAGTCCTGTCTTTCGGTATCATAAGAATGTGGCATAGGATGAGCTAAGTGTCAAGCGAACCAACCCAACTGAATAATCCCTAGTGAAATAAATTACTTGTACTGGATTCCAATATGAGTCAAGCATATTCCAAATGAAATGGTTTTCATAAATAAAAATGAATTCTATTGGCTCAAGTATACAAAATGTCATGATTAGCCCCAAATGTTATTCCTTACAAAGTGATTGTCGCTACCGGCACTGCTCATTCCACGTTTTATTTGTACTTGTTTGATATTTACAGTCACATCCAACTAATTCACGAAAAGATACTTATGCTAAGATTTCTTTGTCAGTCTTATACTGTATTCAACTGCATGGTCGACAGCAAATACTTGATTTCAGTTACCAATAAAATTATACCGTCAAAATTACACAATAATCATATTCTTTACAGTATATTTTTAATGTTTTTATTCAGCCCTGTTGATTAACTACTAAATTCATATCTTTACAGGTATATGAGAATTACAAGTAGCGTCGTTTTTGAAATCAAACAACATACAAGCATAGTTTGTCTATTTTTGTATGTTTAACATTGTACACTGACTTTTGCTTCAGTTATTTTGAAACCATAGAGTAAAGAGTGATCAGTTTTCGATCCCAAACAAGTATAAAGCTTACTGTGCGGAAACATATGGCTAGTTTCTCAAGATTATTCAGTTTACATCAAGATGTGACAGGCAAAAAGTAAAATGAAAATACATAGAAAGCCTGATGGTCGTGAGGACAGTTACTCAACGATGACATTGGGTGGCAGTTGCGCTATATCATGAGCTAACAGAAGTTAGAAATATGGACCATTGGATCCTGACCCATTGGCTCAATGGAAACTTGCCGGCCGTGGAACCTAAAGGTCGCGGGTTCGATCCCTGGCGGGGTCGTGGGTGTGCACTGCTGAGGAGTTCCAGGTTTCCTTTGTTCCTCCAACTGATGTCAGTCTACGATGAATAACAAGACACAGAAAATAGTTTCGGTTTTTCGAGTTTGTAAACATATTCATCATGATGTGAGTAAATAGCTTAACGTTGCTTTATTTATTTTCAACGACTAGAAACTTTTAGTTAGCGAAATGAAAAGAATAAAAGAATTCAAGTTTGTCATAAATACCCTAACAGGCACAATATATTTCAAGTCCTAAAACTGAACTTTTATATCTTTTCGAGCTGATGCACAATTTTTCTCGCTTCTGTCTATGGCTTTTACACCATGTTTTTGAAGACTGACAAGTTAGACACATTGATGTTGAGTCATTTAAACCCGTTTACCACTTGCAAGACTTACAGTCCACGATGAAGATTGTTCACTCATGTGGAACCTAAGTTTCATCTTTTATACCACCTCTTAAAAATTGAGTGTTCATGTAGTGAAATTTGACCTGTTGGAAAATACTAACGGCGTCCAGATTGCAGCTTTAAAGCATTAATATCAAGATAAACAGACAAAAACCCTTAGTACTCAATAGTATCACTAGTTAACTTGATTAAGGTGATCTGAATACAGTACAGCCACCTTGTGTTTTCTGAAGCTAGATTATTCACTAATCTACGTCGAGTAGTTGCTATAAAACATCTTAATTGTGAAATTGTTATCCTAAACTATAACCTTTGCAAAATGAAATATCCATGCCATTTTTATATTACTTTGGTAAAGTTGATCAATGCCTCCACCTGAAATTACTTAGCTGAATAAGCAAGGCGTTTCACATACTCCCTAACTGTTTCCAAGCCATATCTCCTTTAAATAGGGTAACAAAATCATTCAGCTCAAGCTTACCAGAATCTAAGCAACCACATTGGCTTGGACGTACACACAAACTACCATCACGCATATAACCTGGACGGCATTGACAACCAGGACCGGAAGATATGTAACTACACTTTGATTCTACACCAAAGAACTTTCCTTCACAAGTTTCTGGACATGGGTTTCGATCCACCACGAAATGTTGATTTTTACCGCATTTTGAACCACCTTCATATAGAAAAAAAGAAACAGCTGATGAAGGTACTACAAGGTAAACGGAAGCATACTAAAAAAAATTTAAGAAAGTTCATTTTCATTAGGGCTTTCAATGTCGAGTTTACTTATGTTTCATGCAGAAATGTTATTCTGAATAAACTGCCTTGATCGTGACTGTAATAATAGGCCTTACGGCTGATGGTTAGGTGTCAGCTATGTATGACCCACTCCATACTGAGATTATAGTGTAAAAGTTTCTGATTGTTTTGTTTTGGGGGCTGTCTTACAGGATAACAACATGAAGAATGTTTCGTCCAGTCTTTCATAATTTAAAGTGTTTTCTGTGAATGCTTTTACTATACAACTCAATGAAGCATTTTGGTTGGATCGGAAGCCTTTCTGACTCTATGAATTATCCTGACTGTTTTCAAGTTTTACTTAACTAATAACAAAGTCGAAAAACCAGTCTGCTAAAATGATGAGGATATATCTTGGTTTTATTTTGTGTCTGACTTTTATATTTCTCTGTGTTCTATTTTAAGACAGAGATACGGGTAATTCCTTCCTCATCACTTCTTGTTTGACCTGAAACTACGCGTCCATTCAGTTTCTAAAACCATCTTACATTCACTGTTATTTTTTGAAATAGTTTTGTGTTGGTGTTGTACCCTGACTTGGTGAATAAAGATGTATTTTGTGAAGACGTGAGTACGTGACTTAGCTTTTGGAGTCAAGAAAAATATGTTGGTAAAATCAGCTGGTTCGTTCACAGTATGGCCTGCTGCTTACAACTGACTGCAGAGTATTTCAATATTGAATCAAAGTTATACTGCTCAGCAATTTATGCTCGCGTGATCAGAGCTCTTGACATTACTGCAAATATCATCCTCAACACCACATTATGAAGAAGTGAAGCTGAGATGTCCTCTAGTGGAAGAAAAAAGATAGTAGTATGATGACTACGGAAGTTACTTATATGTTAGTATGAACAAATAGATATAGATGTGAAAATCATCTATGTAAGTAGTAAAGCTCATATAACATTACCTACAATGTCCATCAAAATGTCATTAACATATATAGGATGCCGAAAATGTGACTGAATATTAGTTATGCAGTATTTCTTACTTGAAGTATCAAGATGAACTGATCGCTTTTTCGCTTTAGATTCAACTGGCCTTTGCCCCATGCATAATTAATGGTGCAGTTTTCCGTGGATTTTATTTTCAGTGGGAATTTTTCGCATATCCCATTTATTCTCTTCTCATAGACGTAACCTTCTACTTGTTTCTGATTAGAGCAGGTATAAAGTACTTTCGAAGGAGGACCACAGGCTAAAAAATAATCGTATTTCAAACAAATTTAATAAATATTAGGTTTAACAAGTTTCGCTTAAATCACTGCACAGTGATAAACACAGAAATTGAATTGTTTATTGTAAAAGTGACGTTTTTTTAACCACTGGGTCTTCGGCTGAAAACATTTGATTGTTAGACTAAATATTTTCACTGATATAATTATAAAGGGAGGAGAGTAAACGCATTGCCAGTAGATTCTGAAGTCCCTTTATTATCTGAACTGTTTTCTGAAACACAGGCAACTGACATACAAAATAGAAACTGTTGTCTTGTAGAAGATGAAATTAAATAATTTAATCTTTTCATGTCATAATAACTTCTTGCAATAAATGAGCATTTCATCACATTAGTGATTAGATCCAAACTTCTAACTTCAGTTGGCACCCACCGGGTTGAATTTAGGGTGAGTCACTAGATTACAAACATCCCAATACTTCTGATAATGTTCATTCTGCTTTTTTTCATATTGAAACCGGTAGCTGACATTTTAGCATATCTGGTGTGAATTATACTTAATAAAGTGGTTTAAAACAAAACACTAGACCTATAAATGACATTTCACTGGAAATAACTTATTCAGTGGTTAAGAGTTTGAGTCTGCTACCTTATTCTACAGGAGAAAACCTTTTGACCTAACATGATATAGTGATACCTAAAATATAAAAAAACTATAAGAAATGATAATTGGACTATAAGTATAACGTCTTTTTCACTCCACCTAGGGGTAACTGAAATATGTAAGTAGATATAATCGAAGCAATAACCTGATTAAGTGTCGTTGCGCATGCATTCTTCTAGTAATTGTCTAAACTCAGTCGCTAAGAAATGTTTCACTTTAACTAATTATCAGTTTTGATATGAGGCAAAGCTGTGTATATAAAACACTATAGTCTCCATGTTGACTAGGAAACATCGAAAAACTGAGTTAAGTGTAGATTTTTTTGCATTTCAAACTTTATCAAATGATGTTATACTAAAGCATCTATAACTTACGGCATTTTTTCAGCATATTGTAAACAAAGGGTAAACAGATACAATCAGGTGTTCGTTTAAAAACGATAATTTTTTTCCTGACGACACCTTTATAACATGGACCAGAATTATAAATTTTCGATGGACATTCTATGTGATTGTTCACAAAAAAATAGCAAAAAAGGATTTTTATCGTTCTGCATTTTGACAATGATAAACAACTAAATAAAAACTCTGTGACAATATCCATGCTTGCAAAAGGTGAATTCACAACATAACCAATAAACAAAGTGGTACAATCTCAGTTTTTATTGGTGAGTATAATAGTGTTAGTTGCAGTCTTATTCTCATGAACTGAAGGTGTTTATTTATTTAAACGTTTTCAAAATTGGAACCTTGCACCAAGGTACAGCACGGGGTGCGCTGGAGGCTTCATTTTTGAGCTAATGTGTTTTCTATGCTTTCATCGAACAACTTTGTCCCCATAAACTCTGTAAAGGAATGCATGTGTATTCTCAAGTAACATACCATCGTTTTAGACTAGTCTGTTTTAATTATTACATTTTTCGCAATACTGATTGTTTCCTTTTTATTCGATACTGGAATTAGGCTAAAGGAAGTTATTTACCTTTCACTGTTTGTTAGTCTGTGTCATCCGGTGATTGTATCAGATGTATATAAAGTTCATAAACAGAATCCGAAAAGTCAGATACAGAAAAAAAATACTAAAAAAACTAAAATTTGATCGAAATTCTATAATCTTAGTTATTCCATGTGAACCTCCCGTCAGGATGTGACTTTTGTGTTACATGTTTAATTCTTGGAGTGTTGCCTGTGCTAACAGTGGGTAGTTGTCAGTTACCTTTGTAAATCATGTTTTTTGACTATTGGTATTGCTTTCTGCAGTTCAACATCGAATATTCTCTTGGCATCACACAACTAAAATTATAATAAACCAATCAGTAGATCTGACCTGACCTCATGAAAACCTCAACATTGACCTTTCCAACAGGTTCTTTAATTACTATCATAATCCCATAGTTCTATCCAGTACCAAATAGCTTCTTAGAGATTTTCCACATGACAAACACTTTTGTCTTACTCTTCTTTCGATTTTTAACGGTGCTCAGAAAATATTTCACATAGTAGTATTAATTTAACCTAAAAAAACTACATCACTTTCACATGACAGCATACTGATTCATCCTAAGGATATAACTCAGATGAACATCCATATATAATGGATAGGTGGCTGACAATTTACTTAGCAATCAACAGGATAGTAGGATGACATTTTGGCGATTTTGCGTAGATTTTTCACATATTGAAGTGAATACACGCGTTTTCTCGAATACATGAAGGCACTGAAAATGTAAACTAGTCAGACTGAGTTGTTTGCCAAAGAAATCTCTCTCAAATAATTGGAGAATCATAAGAATGAAAGAAGAAAAAACAGGCTTGTTTGCGTCATATAATAATAAATTGACAACTGAAGAATGATATTCGCAATAATCTTTTTAAGCTGTTGAAAGTTGCTTTACTCTTAACACATTCCGAAGATCGTGAATTCGATCTTAGGCGATATCGAACAACTGATAGAAACTTACAAAACAAAGAGAAATCAGAAGCTGCTATTTATTCAAGGCAGTTCATTAAATGCTACTGACAATAAATTCACAGCATAGGTTCCACTATGGTAATTTTGTTCTTACTTTAAATTGATAAAAATGCAAACTTACTGAATTCCATGAATCCACATTTGTTTCTGAGAATACCAGACTGTTTATGATGAAATCTTTATGGGGATGGAAATGAAAGAGTGTCATTTAAACGGTGAAAAACAATAATTCGATTCAAGTTAATTTTTACTTCTTGATAATTGTCTTTTAAGCCAACGTTAAAATACTTTGAAATAGTAATAAATCTACTGAGTTTCTGGATATTCGATTCTATTGTCTGGTGGAAAATGATAATCAAACAGTAAAAGACTTCTTTGGGTGGTAAATTTGATAAAAATCTATTTAGTAAGCGTTTAGATGAAGCGACTTCTTTAAGTGGTCAAACACTATGTTGTGCGGATTTTGGTATCAATTTAAAACTTCTTTTAGTTTATTCCTGTGGTTAGTAACACAGTTGCTGGTCTGTTTGATTTTCAGATCCCCAGTGAGATGATAAAGTTTAAAACTGAAGTATATATAGCATGGTGTATGAATAGGGGTGAAATGGAATGAGTTATGAGTTAATAATCCCAGCAGAAGTGTCTAGGTTAAAACTAATATGGACTTGTGCTGCCATGTTTCCTGTCTGAAAGTAAATTTTCAAGTATATTCTACCTTCAAGCTTTTCCGGTCGAATATGAGCTCATCCAATTTCAAGACATTTGAGTTGCACAAAAAATGTCTGAATCACCCAGTGAAACAGTACTATTTAAAGGATAAATAAAGTTTCGAAATTTGTCTGACCGACTTTAAGTGCTTTAATGAGTAAAAGTTTAAGTAACAACGTAACGGTAAAATTCTGAATGGGCCAAACCAATTCCCTCAGATAATGGTAATTTGAGATATAATAATATTTCACTTAAGTGTTGATATGAGTATCATGAATGACATTCCAAAAACATTAAAAGAATGTTGTTTCCCAGTTAAAATGAGTGGTAAACCTATGTTCATCCGATCCAAAGAATAATAAATCCCAAAATTATCTGCGCTTAAAGCATTTCGAATGTTTTCCCCAGTTTCTAGAATTTGTCACTATTCAACTTATTATTTATATTCTGAATTTTCATGCTAATATATTGGGCTTTGACAAACAGACAAAGTTTACTGATAACGTAACTGTCTGTCATTTAGATGCTGTTAGATGAATGGTAAGTAAAATCAGCAAAGGTCTTCATTGCAGCACTGAAAGTCTTCTGTAAATTTTTAATGAAACTAGGTAACTGATATATGAAGCGTGAGATTTAGTCTTGACAAGTTGTCTGTATATTTTCTTGCTGAAATCAATAAAATATTTCAAAGGTTGACAAAGTAATAATTGGCAAACCTGCATAAGCATGGGTCAAATGCTTGACAATATTTTAACCGGTTTAGTAAGAAATTCATCACGTAGAAACCGGGAAGCATTTCTCCTCAGCGCTGCATTCTAGTTGATTATCTTTATCCACTTGTAATACCAAGGTTTTTTAAAATGAAACCGTCAAACAATTATTTGATAAACTTTCAGTCACTTTTTGCCA